TGCATGTGTAAGGTTGTGCATGTAATTCAACACATATTGGTACATGTATTTGATTTTTAGGTCACCTGAGTTTACTCAGGTGACCTATTGCTATCTGTTTTCGTCCGTCGGCATGCGTCGTGCGTTAACATTTGAACATTTTCAGCTTCTTCTCTGGAACCACTGAACCAATTTCAACCAAATTTGGCATATAGCATCTGTGGCTGCAGGGGAGTAAAAATTATGAAATTCATGATCCCTACCCCCCTGGGGCCTGAGGGGTGGGGCTAAAACTATCAAAATTAATGCAATCTTTAAAAATCTTCTTTACTCCTGGACATCAAGCAGTCAAACTGTTGGCCTGATTGTAATAAGCACTGAGGCCTCTACCAAAATTGTGAAATTCATGGTCCCAGGGTCAGGGATTCTGGTGCTAGGTGGGGCTATATAGATCATATAGTGAAAGTTCATTATTTCTTTGAAATTCTTCTTCTCTGCTCTTGGGTATTAAATAAAATAACTATGTACATAGTTATAATGAGCAAGAGTGCCTCCTCAAAAATTGTGAATTTCATGGCCCCAGGGTCAGGGGTTCTGGTGTTAAGGCGGGGCTCTATTGATTATATAGTGAAAATGCATTAATTCTTTAAAAATCTTCTTTGATCTGGGATATTTAGCAAACAAAAACTGAATGCACAGTTATGATGAGTAAGGATGTCTCTTCAAAAATTGTGATTTTCATGGCCCCTGGGTCAGGGGTTCTGGTGATAGGGCGGGGCTCTAATGATTACATTGTAAAAAATGCAATAATTCTTTGAAAATCTTCTCCTTTTCCCCTGGGTATTAAGCTGATGAATTAAAAGTATAGTTATGATATGTAAGAGTGCCTCTTCCAAAATTGTGAATTTTATGTCCGCTGGGTCAAGGTTCTGGTGTTAAGGCAGGGCTCTAGTGGTAGGGCAGGGCTCATGGCAAAGTTGATACATGATACTCAGGTGACCTATAAGGCCCGTGGGCCTCTTGTTGTCACATGCACACGGATGCTATGAAATACTCTTTAGAATATGCATTTCAAATTTTTTTTATTCTAATGATAGGTGATAGGGAAAATCGATCAAAATACATGTACAACAGAGATAAACTACTTGCTTAATATGGCCAAACCGACGATTAATTGAATATCGAATTCTAACTATATAGCATGGAGGAATAAGTTTGAGGAAGCACTAGTATCAGATCTATGATCCTACGATGCAAACTTTAATTTATAATGGCAAAGTTAAAAGATTAAAAGGTATTAAGAACTTGACTACTGCAATATATTCTGCAAACGCCGTGTTCTCAAAACCCATTAATCGGATTACACATTTGGCCCTCTAAACATATTCCTTGATATATCAATGTAAGTTTGAAATATGTCAGGTACTTCCTCGCTAGAATGGACAGAAAGATGTAGTTATTTAATCATTAATCAAGAATATATTCAAAACAGCATCCAACGGAAGATTAGAGGCATGCATTAAATACTTTCTAGAACACAAATCCCCCATCCCCACTACCAACTGTAACCTGACAAATGAATTACAAATAAAGGATATACGCACAGCTGAAACATTTGTATGCGTGCGTCCATCAGTGCAAGCATTCAAAATGCATCGAAGTAAATTCTGATGGAAATGAGCCTGCTCAAAAGGACAAGATAGGGTAAGACCCCCTTTTGGTCCCTTGACTGGGTTGTTTCTTAGAATGGTGCAGTAGTTCATGATCAAAAACCTGTCGTCATCCCTGTTGTAAAGTAAGTATTGATTCTGAGTGACATGATACACAAAAGTCATTTGTGTGACTCATATGAGAATCGAACCCCGGCTTCCCGATCACTACCTGATCGATTGCTACAGAACGTGAGTCCATTAATGAAAACTCTAATTCAAAGCAACTTTAAAATAACCAAACAACTGCATGAATTAATTCAATATCTACAACCACTCTTAGCATAAAATTAGCCCAAAATAAGAAATCCTTATAGATGATCAAGATAATCAATTATAGTTTAAAATTTATTTTTCGTTTTTTGTTCAGAACATCTAGGTCAATGATGCTCAATACTCTCAACTGAGAGCTTCATAATGTTGGAGTTTACCAATACATATTTAAATATCATACTTGACATTTGATTCTGTATTCGAATGATTGAGGAAAAAGGTTCTATTTTTAGGGGGGGGGGGGATGTATTTTCTGTCTTAATTATAAATTCAGTTATCATGATTCTGATGATTACAGAATTTAGCTAAAGCTGAGATCTCAGGAGAAAGGGAGAAAATAAGTGAATTAAAATATGGTTCTGCAATGCCAACAGCTCAAACCATAATTTGGGCTAAAAATGCATATATACAACAAGAGGCCCATGGGCCACATCGCTCACCTGAGCACATTGGCTAGACAAAAGCACAAATCAGTTCAGTATTGAAAAGATTATGGGGGGGGGGGGCTTGGGCTTGAATTTTAAACTACCTGATGATGCTTACATGTCAGTATAACAAATGGCTTTGTAATGGCTTTGTTGTACTTGAGAAGAACTTGAAAGTTTTCCCATATATTCCTTTGTAAAAATTTGATCTACCACTGTGGCTCCTCCCTATCCCAGAGGTCATCATTTTAACGAACTTGAATCTACACTACCTGAGGATGCTTCCATATCAATATGACTAAACATAGCTTTACAGTTCTTCAGAAGAAATATTTTTTCTATATGTTCTTATGTAAAAATTTTTAATCCCCCATTGGGCCCCACCCTACCCCAGGGGGTCATCATTTGAACAAAATTGAATTTACACTATCTGATGATGCTTCCATATCAAAATGACTAAACATGATTTTCAGTTCTTGAGAAGAAGATATTTTCCTATATGTTCCTATGTAAAATTTTCTATCCCCCATTGTGGCCCATCCCTATCCCCAGGGGTCATCATTTAAAAAACTTGAATCTACACTACCTGAGGATGCTTCCATATCAGAATGACTAATCATGGCTTTGCTGTTCTTCATCAGAATATATTTTCCTATATATTTCTATTTAAGACTTTGATCCTCCATTGTGGCCCCACCCTACCCCAGGGGGTCATGATTTGAACAAACTTGAATTAACACTACCTGAGGATACTTCCACATAAATATGATCAATCAGGGCTTTGCTGTTCTTGAGAAGAAGATTTTTAAAGATTTTTCCTATATATTTCTATATAAAACTTTGATCCTCCATTGTGGCCCCGCCCTACCCCTGGGGGTCATGATTTGAATAAATTTGAATCTACACTACATGAGGATGCTTCCATATAAATATGACCAATCAGGACTTTGCTGTTCTTGAGAAGAAGATTTTTAAAGGCTTTTCCTATATATTCCTATGTAAAACTTTGATCCTCCATTGTGGCCCCACCCTTCCCCCAGGGGTCATGATTTGAACAAACTTGAATCTACACTACCTGATGATGCTTCCATATAAATATGACCAATCAGGGCTTTGCTGTTCTTGAGAAGAAGATTTTTAAAGATTTTTCCTATATATTTCTATATAAAACTTTGATCCTCCATTGTGGCCCCGCCCTACCCCCAGGGGGTCATGATTTTAAAAAATTTAAATCTCCACTACATGAGGATGCTTCCAGATAAATATGACCAATCAGGGCTTTGCTGTTCTTGAGAAGAAGATTTTTAAAGATTTTTCCTATATATTCCTATGTAAAACTTTGATCCTCCATTGTGGCCCTGCCCTACCCCCCAGGGGTCATGATTTGAACAAACTTGAATCTACACTACCTGAGGATGCTTCCATATAAATATGACCAATCAGGGCTTTGCTGTTCTTGAGAAGAAGATTTTTCCTATATATTTCTATATAAAACTTTGATCCTCCATTGTGGCCCCGCCCTACCCCAGGGGGTCATGATTTGAACAAACTTGAATCTACACTACATGAGGATGCTTCCATATAAATATGACCAATCAGGGCTTTGCTGTTCTTGGGAAGAAGATTTTTAAAGATTTTTCCTATATATTCCTATGTAAAACTTTGATCCTCCATTGTGGCCCTGCCCTACCCCCAGGGGTCATGATTTGAACAAACTTGAATCTACACTACCTGAGGATGCTTCCATATAAATATGACCAATCAGGGCTTTGCTGTTCTTGAGGAGAAGATTTTTAAAGATTTTTCCTATATATTTCTATGTAAAACTTTGATCCTCCATTGTGGCCCCGCCCTACCCCCGGGGGTCATGATTTGAACAAACTTGAATCTACACTACCTGAGGATGCTTCCACATGAGTTTCATCTTCCCTGGCTCTGTGGTTCTTGAGAAGAAGATTTTTAAAAGATGCCATTAATTTTTCACTAATTCTTTATTATCTCCCCTTGAAAGAGGGCATGGCCCTTCATTTGAACAAACTTGAATCCCCTTCACCCAAGGATACTTTGTGGCAAGTTTGGTTGAAATTGGCCCAGTGGTTCTTGAGAAGAAGTTGAAAATGTGAAAAGTTTACAGACGGACGGACAGACAGACGGACAGACAGACGGACGGACGGACTACAGACAAAATGTGATCAGAAAAGCTCACTTGAGCCTTCGGCTCAGGTGAGCTAAAAAAGTTAGCAGAAATAAGCGCCAGTATCAAAAGAATTATAAGTTTCTCTACATCTCACGTGACATAAGCGCTTAATCGCTCAGTTTCACCTGTTTATCAGAAGGGTACCTCCTGCCATGACGTCTTGCAATTCGAAGTTTCTCGACAATCTTTGTTCAACAAGCATGAAATTTCTATGCATGTGATGTGTTGAATATAATGTTAATGCTCTCGAGGAAATCATTTTTAACACCCATCAAAATCTTCCAACACTTTTAAAATGGTACCTTTAATTGAGAACTTTCTTGAAATCATGAAATAATGAACATCGTTCATTAAGTTTTCAACATTTTTACGTCAAACTAATCATCAGTATAAGAACAAAAAATACTAAGATATATAATCGCTTATATTCTGTTTTAATATCATGTTCATCTGCATTCTGTTTAACAATCTATACAAAGGAAAGAAATCAGTAGACTATAAAATATTCTATTTGAAGGTAACAATAATTATAATCCTTTGTGATACTTGATGGGTGACCTTGGGCACTGGTATTTAATCATTGGTAACAAGCAAACATGCTGATCATTGATTTGTGTATTCAAATATTCCGTATTTGCTATTTCCTTCGATTATGATAGGATTTTTCCTCGTTTCTAACGACTAGCTTATTAACACTAGTACAAGGTACGGCCACTTCTCTTCAACACATTAGGTACACAAGTGGTGTTCAGGAGGAAGCCGAATGTTGTAGCACCAATTAAAATTGTTCACAATTTACTGGTAGGTCCTCCATTCAAACTAACAATGATTTTACCTATGCTCTTCTGTGTGTAGAGGTACTGAAAAACAAAGACATACTGTAATTATCTAGTACTCCATAAATACGACGTAAAAAATCATTTACCATAAACATGACAAATTTCTTAATTGCAAATAGCTATTCATTTAAAACTAAATCGATGAATGTAGTATTTACTGGTTATAATTAGAAAAAGGATTATCAGCGCAAATCAACAAATGTGCAATATTAAGTATAGTATAAAGTATATCACTTTTTATTCGCAAGAATGTTATAAATAATTTTTGCGTCATTTTGCGAGACCGTCTGCTCGCTAAAATTATATTCTCGCATGTCACATGTATTAGACTATAATTGTGTCTCCTTTACAAATTGCAAATAACTATCTCGCTAAAATAAGAAGAAGTGAAAATTCGTGACCTACAGAATATACACAATCTGTTACGGAACTTTATGTTCTGCAGGGCACTGCATAGCCATTGCTTCAATTTCAATAGAACATGGTACGTGTATTTGTCAAATTGTGAAATTTAGTCAACAAATTAACTGAATTATGGAAACTAGAGAAAACAAATTCGCAGAGAAAATCACAGGAAGATCATGATGCATAGCACTTCATTCTTCACAAAAAAAAAAAAACCATTATGCAATCTCCAAAGTAAGTCAAGAGTTTACATCCTTACACTCATAATATGTGTATCTCCTTACAAAAAACTATTGGTGCTAATATATGGAAGTCATGGACAGAATCTCAAACATGACTGGTTCATGTAGAATGCATCCCAAAAAGGACATGTAACATCTATGCCAGACTTGTCAAGGCCAGTGAACTTTTATTTTACTTAATTTGGGACTGAATCTGCTCAAAAATATTTTACTGAACACTCATTTTAAAAATATTGGGCACATGAAACATCACTGAAAGTACGACAGAAAAATGCATTTTTAGATGCAACAATAAATGCAAAAAATGGTCAATGAAGGTCTGAAATTCTACCAGTATTCATTTGGGAATATAACTGTTCTAAAAATTACCTCTGATCACTCAAGAAAATAAATGTCACTTGCAACATCCAAAGTATGAATCATAGTCATAAATGCATCCTTATTGTCATCATCTTTGCAAGTTTGATCAGCATAGGTTAATAAAGTCCCTTGAGAATAGACCACTTAATATCACTCATTTAAAATCATCAAAAGCATCCAAAGCCATATTCCATCTATAAAACATTAGCATCACTCTTTCATAACAGAATCAAATCCTCTCAACTCAAAATGTGTAAAAGGACAAACTTTTTACGAATCAGAGTCTTTAAGGCTGGAGTCTCAGTCCTGAGTCATAGATCAAATTTCAAAGACCTTATTGCACAACTACAGCAAATGAAGCTAATAAGAACCTTTTAGCCTCCCTTAGGGCCCTCCCTTGATCCTTGGGGTCAAAATCAAAATTTCTAAACCTTACTGCACATATTAGCAAATATTGTGCAAAGAAATTTTAAGCTGTCTGTCCTCTAAATAGGTATATGTATCAATGATCAGAAAATGTGATTGAAGATTGGACAGGGAAATCAACAGATATCTAACAAATATCTTTAAAAAGTGGGTATAATCAGAGATATGTCTCTGGTAAGAAAAACAGTCTGAGCAGCTCTTTCTATTCATCATGTTAGCTTTTAGTGCAAAGCTGAAAAAAAAAAGATTTACAAGTACGTAGCTCATCAGTTTTAACACTTTGTTTTTACACCTTGGTTTGAATCATGTGGGAAAATTTGTTCTCATATTGGTACACATTCTTAAATAGCAATTGATATCTAAATGCAAGAGTATAAAAATCAATTTGCTAGATGTAATTCAATTGGGTATAAAACTATATCAGTTCATTGATAAAAAAAAATTCTAGTACCCTACAAAACAGGATTATCATATATCAAAAAAATAACTTTAAAAATGTATTGAGGACACTTTGCTTTATGACAAAATCAACTTTCCTGGCATTTTTTTTAAAATTATGCCATGTTCAAACTGTTCAGTTTGCCTCTCAAGAACTGTTTTATCAAATAACAGTTCCTGGACAATTAACTGCAAGGCCAACATTTAATTCTTGTAGACAACTTCACTTGTAATCAGCTATGGTTCTCCATTGATTAAATTTAAAGGTCAAAAGCTCAAGTCAAAGAAACATGCAAATGCCATGCCGAGATTGTTCATTTGAAAGAAGACCAAAATTAGGTGACCTGCACAATATGAAATTTGCAGGTACATGTGCTACATCATTCTTAGATCATATCAATCCATGTCTAGTCCAAGTAGTTAAGTTATAGGGACAGTTTGCAAAATGTCCTTGCTCTACTCAACATTCTCTCAAACGCAACTATTTATCTACAACCTCTAATTTAGCCTTTGCATGCTGTAACTTGATGACGTAAATATGTTTATTTGGATACTGCTTTGATGTTCCTTGGGTAGTTGTATTGTGTAAACTGGTATTATCAAATTATCAGAAGGCATAATTTTTTCTGTTTCACAATGAGTATATAAAAGAAAACAATACAATGATAGCATCAGAAATTTTAATGAATTGAGATTTAATTGTATAAATGAAATGAGGTCTGAAAAATTATGTTTCTTGAAGTCTGACCCAGAATTCTATTTCTGATTCTTTTTTTTTTTTTTTTTTTTTTTGTTAATAACTTTCCACTTTTTTTAACTATGGATACATGTACATGTAACACCCAGACATGTTATTGGAAATATATTGTACATTGGTTTGGCTTAATATTAGCAATGAAAACAAAAAAGGCATTGACCATAAATAGGTTCACAAATCATCATGATCAGATGGCATGTCTGGCAAAAAAAAAAAAAAAAATAATAATAATAATTAAGTAAATTTATACGGACTATGCTAACTCCCAAATGATAACAGAAAGATCACAATGTCATTATAGTAATAATGATTGAAATATATATAAATTTCTGGTCAAAAACACTTAGCCCATAACATTTTAATTAAAATCAATAACTAGGTGCAGATTGACATTTTTACCTTCATGTAACTGTTCGGTGTGTCCAATAAGTTACTGACTATGCTCTGGCATAGATTCTTTTCAGATTGCTCAAAATCAATAGATTCAATACAATGAAAACAGACTTCAGTCAATGAATTTGTGAAATAGCAATGTTCTTGAATTTTAAAGTAAAAAGGATTATTTGAGTACTTTCAGCAAAGAAAAAAATATGAGCGCACTCATCAATCCAAAAATAAAACGTTTTAAAATCTTCAGAAACACTTCTATCATAAATTAATTACATAACTAAGATCAGAGATTGCACTCTATATGAAATATTGAAAAATAGATTTAAAGATTGTTGGCTCTTGTAGAATTTTTAAGGATATGGGAAAAATGGTGCAGTTCATGGCATCATAATGCATTTAAAACAAGCCAGAAAACTACATCATTTTTTAAAGATCACCAAGGGTCTAAATTTTAAAATTTTAAAGTCACCAAGGGTCTAAATGATATTTAATGCATTGGCAGCTGAAACTTAGCAGTTTCACATTTTTAGAAATTCACAGGGCCAAAAAAGTCCCTAAGTAAACCTTATTCTTTATGTTTACAGTAATATTAAAAATGAAGAAGTTAAGTCACATTTATAATTTATTTTTCAAGATTTCTCAATAGTGTCCTATAAAGTGATAAAAAAAATTATGATGATTCAAAAGGGAAATGACAAAAAGTGAGAATTTTAACATCATAAAAAATTCATTATTTCTTCAATATTATTTTGGGCATTTGAAATTTATTTGCCCTTCTCTCGGGCTCAAAAAATTACTCCTTGCAAGTATAATTTGATAAATGCAAGTTTAAAATGGCAAGCAAAATTTTAACTTTCCATTTCTTAATATGTTTACTTCACTACGATTCTTTTCTTCATAACCTGTTTCAAATTATTTCTAAAAAGTTTGATTTTTACCAATGATGATGGGAACTTACAGTTCACTAGTTAGCTTTAAAAGTCAAGTCAAAATGGACTTCAATGAAAATTTAAGGAAAAAAAAGAGTTCCCTGAAGAAAAATTTGAATTAAATTTGTAGGAAGATCTATGAAAAGATGCAGAAGTTGGAATGTTTTCAGTGGTCCTCTTTTAAGTCACCGTCTAACAGTCTGCAACATGAATGAGAAAGTTGTGATCAATTTCAAGTGATAATTCTGGGGAATGACAGTGTTTTCCCTAAGAACCAGTTAACAGCCAAACTGACTCTTAGAAATCAAAAATTTAAAAAAATAATTATTCCAAGTTCGCAGAGATTGTGTTCATAAACCTCAACCCCTAGCCTAGATCTCCAACCCTTTACTCTGAAATAAAGGGAAAATGCTGGAATAAGTGTGTTTTGGGTGAAGGAATTAATTTAGATTTGTAGGTCAATCCAGTCAAAGATCTTTTGGAACCATTTTATTTATTCTGTGAATGATTCTTCAGCAGAGGTCGAAATGAAACACTGACAATGAAAGACAACTGAAATATTATACTTGAATTCCAAAATATTTCTCAAAAACTTTTATTTTTATAATCTACATGTATCTTATCTTACAAATTCTGTTTTGCAACAGAACATCCTCAAAAGATCTATTTCTCAAATGAGAAAATAAATCATGGGTTATGTTCAATTTAATGAAAATCATACAGGCACTTTGCACCAGACTGATAGTGGAGGTGCTAAAATTAATTTTACAATTACCTCAACTGCATCAGCTACACTTTCTAAGCCTTTAAATGGTCCCTTTTCTGTGTTTTCACCCAAATCCACAAAGCTCTGGAGTTTGCCTTCCTGTTGTAACTTGATCATTTTACTGATATACAGTGGGATATCAGACATGAAATGTTCCAGGAAGAACCCTCTAATACTTGCAGATTTGTTGAGCAGCTGTAATAGATGAATATTAATTAGATTGGTTCCATAATGAATACTCCAATACTCATCATTTACTCACTACATGAATTATATTAAGATTCAATATAAATGTGGATTATTTCTCCTTTTTCTGTGTTTGAATATGATGGGTATAAAAATCTTGTTGAAATGCATATACAGTTGAACTTTGGTATCTCAAACATCAATATCTTGGATATGTTGAAGTGAGCTGGAAGTGCCAATAACATTTTCTTCATGTATTTTAACCTCAATATCTAAAATCCTCCAATATTTTAAAGTTTTTTTCTTGGTCCAATCAAGTTTGAGATAACAAAATTTACATGAGTAGTTAAAGGAAAACCAAGCTACTGATTCTTTTTGGACACAAATAAGTAATCAGCATCAGATTTTCAAGTCAAATAAGTTTTCTTTCTTGTGTTTTTATTTATAGATAGCTTCAAAAAAATCCTTTCATTATTAAGACTACAATTTGTCTAATTTTAACATTTAAAAGTTCTAAAATATATGTTTATGAATAGGGTGAAGTCACAATATCTTAATGGGGCATTCCTTACACAAAAACTGTAAAGTTCCATCCCCTCCCCTTCCACACACCATAGAATGATGCATGAATATATTAAAATATTTATTAAGTCTTGATTTAATTGTAAAAATTCACCTTAACAGGTATTGTGGCCATTGTTCTGGAAGGCTTGAAGCCAAGATCTGACTGGTAACCCTCAATGAAGCCTATCACAATCAATCGTCCCTTCATTGCTAAGCTTCAATGTTCAAAAAACACAGGTACATGTAGATTAAGAATATATGCTCCATAAAAAAAAAATACATTTCAAAAGCAATTTTGATTTTTTTGTTTAGGGAAATTAATTAAATATAACATGGTAAAGAATTACTTTTCCTTTTATCAAGATGAAGTTCTATACACACTGCACCTTAAAAAATAATTAAGTTTTTCCATGAAAGACGCACCTGTTAACACATATGTCAAACATCTCCCCTCCAATGGATTCATATATTACATCAATACCATTCTGAAATAGAATAAAGCTATGAAAAATGTATGTGACTTTATAATTTTGATAATTTAATACACATTTTTTTTCAACATTAACAGTTCTGAACAGATCTAAAAAGTATCTCCATTCATGATATTAGTTCATTGAGGAAGGTCTAACTTTCAATTTATGTGACTCATTTTAATATCATGAATCATCACGAGTACAGCCTATTGTTAAAGTAACTATAATCCAATCTTGTAATTTGAAGCAACTTTATCCAAAATAAAAAAAATGCATGAAATATAAATTGGTGCTTTTTTTTCTTTTTAATGTTAACATTAAATTTTACTTAGTGACAACTGAATTTAACAATGATCTGTACAATGATTCATGTAAAATGAGTCATGCATCAATACTGTTACACATATCTGATCCTCTCTCAAAATATGTATATATGGATCTTTGGGATGGGAGAATTCTTTATCAGTATGAAAAGGGACATTTTAAAGCAACAATTACATGTACGTGATCCTCCCAACCCCCAACCCAAATTGATATATAATCTAATTACTAATATAATACTTCACTCTATTTTTATGTACATGCATTTATATTTATCAAATATTCAGTATACTAACAAATTTAATCTCAGATGAGGGTATACATACCTTATACTCTAGTTTGAGGACTTCTTTCAAATTTTCTTTCTTATAATTAATGGGACGATCACAACCAATTTTCTGAATAATAAATGTTCATGTTCAAATTTATTTACATGTAGAGCAATTGCAAGAATTGTTTTCAAGGAAAAAATTCAAATCATTATACTCAAAGAAGAAGGGCAAATAAGGAGAGAAAAATATCCATGGATAGACAAATAAGAAAGTGAAAAAATGAAACTCTCAATCATTATAAATTTTCTGCAATATTCTTGTTAACATTAATGTTTGCTTCTTGTAAAATCTCCACAATTTGCTACAATCTCATAATTGATGAATGAAATAGCAGGCACACAACAAACATTAAAAATAGGGCAAAAAATGATCATTTCTTCATATTTTGTTATATGAAACAGATGTATCAGACTCTTGGTGTCTTTTTAGTTCAAATGGATACATCTATTAAACCAATGTAGGAATGAAAAGAATGTTGTTAATTGATAAAACTTCATCAACATATATCGATAGTACATATACTACAAGGTCGAAGGTCTAGCTTTTTTTTTAAATTCTGTTTACTTTTCATGCTTCAAACTGAAACATAAACTGAAAACTGGACCTGCATGTCCATCACAATGAAAAAAAAATGAATATAAGGATTTTTTTTTTGCTTGGGTTCAATAGCAACAGAACAGAACCTGCATTTTTTTTAAAACCATTAATATTTAATTTTGGCAGAAATTTGTTTTGGTCATAATAATTAATTTCATACTTATTAATAATAAGAACACTGCCCAAAATATCAGGTACTTTATTCACAATTTTTTTTATAAACTTGAAGCTATGGACACATTCCATAACTTATTTGTACATTTTCTTTCTATACATAGAAAATATACAGTGAAACTTGTCTAATCCGAATGTAGTGTAACCCGAAATCTTCCCTAATACGATGTAAACTTTAAGTCCCTTTCAATAAATTCAATTGTTTAAAATGTTGTCTAATCGGAATGTTGTCTAATCTGGCCAATTTCATTGGAACCAGGGGTATCCAGATTAGAAAAGTTTCACTGTAGTCCTATATTCAATGTACCTTGAGAAATTCTACTTTAGCATCAGTTGAACAAGTTCCTATGACATGACACCCTGCTAACTTGGCCCACTGTACCTGAATAATGAAAACATAGAGCATGTACAGAGAGTTATCAGTATGTTCAAAATCTACACAATTTCATAACAGTTCGAACACCCCCCCCCCCCCCCCCCCCCCCCCCCGCAGTTTTAATGATGAACATTTCTGATCTTATCTGAAAAAGCAGTAAGAATAAAACTATCATTAAGGCTATTTATCCTGTATAATGGCTGACTGTATCTAAACACATTGTAGTTTTACTAATGCTGGTTAGTTTGAATTCCCTGGACAAATGAAGATGCAAAGTATTCCATCAACATTTTGTTAAAAATACAGATATGTCTGTATGCAAGAAATAGTCCTAGATCAAGATTTGTTGAGATTTTACATGGAAAATCAACTGCATAAAATAAGTTTCTTAAATGTAAAAATAAGATTTTTCTTATAATTTTTCAATATGAAATGAACATTATGACTTACAGCTAACATTCCAGTACCCCCTGCTGCAGCTGAAAAAGAATAGATCACTGCACTCTCTGAAGAACAGGGTAACTACTAACTACTAAAAATAAAAATACCTCAATTAAAAAATTTAATATTAAATTCAAGACCATTTAAAGATGTTTCAGGGTTAGAAACTCCCTAATTTTAGTACTAAATATCTGCAAAGTTTGACCAAATTCTGTGCAGCGGTTTAAGAGGAGTTGCGCTGACAAACTGTTCACCTCTATATTCAAGATATGGTCAAAAATCTAAGTTGAAAAGTGCCGAAATTCCCAGAAAAATAAGGGAATCGGAATTTCCTGGTAAAATGCACATCTACACCTGTGTACTAAATATCTGGAAAGTTTGACCAAATTCTGTGCTACGGTTTAAGAGGAGTTGGGCTGACAAACTGTTCACCTCTATATTCAAGATATGGCCAAAAATCTAAGTTGAAAAGTCTCAAATTTCCCAGAAAAAATAAAGGAATCGGAATTTCCTGGTAATATGCACATCTACACATTGTGTCCTAAATATCTGCAAAGTTTGACCAAATTCTGTGCAGCGGCTTAAGAGGAGTAGCGCTGATAAACTGTTCACCTCTATATTCAAGATATGGTCAAAAATCTAAGTTGAAAAGTGCCGAAATTCCCAGAAAAATAAGGGAATCGGAATTTCCTGGTAATATGCACATCTACACACTCTGTACTAAATATCTGCAAAGTTTGACCAAATTCTGTGAAACGGTTTAAGAGGAGTTGCACTGACAAACTGTTCACCTCTATATTCAAGATATGGCCAAAAATCTAAGTTGAAAAGTCATGAAATTCCCAGAAAAAATAAAGGAATCGAAATTTCCTGGTAATATGCACATCTACACATTGTGTCCTAAATATCTTCAAAGTTTGACCAAATTCTGTGCAGCGGTTTATGAGGAGTTGCACTGACATAAAAACAGGACTGACGGTCTGACTGACTGACTGACTGACACACTGACTGATTGATGGACGGGTCAAAAACATTATACCTCACGCAACTTGTTGCGTGGGGTATAAAAATTATCAATTAATCAAGTAATTATTTTCTGATATATATATATATATATATATATATATATATATATATATATATATATATATATATATATATAACTGTACATACTTTTACCTTAAATACTTATCCAAGAAATCCATTACCTGTAACTAGTACTGTGTCTCCTCTTTTGACTTCACCAACCTAAAAAAAACAACATACTAGATAGATTACAGATCCTTTCTGTATATTACATGTATATGTAGCATTTGTATTACTAGTAATTTCATTTTTGGTCTTGACAATGCTTTTTTTTTTTTCAATATCAGCCTCTACATTTGTAATAACAACAACTTCCTTTCACATTCATATTTTGTTACCAGTCTAAGACATTCCATGCTTATTCAAAGTTTCCTGCAGATATACAATGTACATTTTAAATGTATCTTCCCATATAATATTATTAATGCAAGTATTATTTGTCATAATATAAAGAAAATAAATATATTTGTGATATTTGGGCAATGTTGGACATAATTGACATCAAAACTTCGATATGTAGTATTTTTAAAGGAATTCTTATTTTAAAGCCAGGGCACATATATACATTGTATAAATGCTCAAAATAGTAAAAATTTAAGAGCAAACTTGTCAAAATAAACCTGTCCTGTGAACTGATAAAAGATGTTTTTACTTGAACTGTGAGCACTAAAATTGCCAAAAGTATGATACAAAAGAATTAGGGCTGAATTGTTCCTGGAAATCCTACCTTGTCCAGGGCTATGGAGGCAGTGATACCACTAACAAGAAATGGCAAGAACTGAGGCAAAGGAGAAGGTATAGGAAATACTCGCTTTGCTTTTAATACCTGAAATGTAAGTTCATGTGTCATTAAGATGTACACAAGAATAAAATATATACATTATTTCATGTATTTTTGAGGTGGAATCAAAATTTTCCAAGACCTTTTCTATAAAACAGATTACATGTAATTAAGGAACAACTGTCTAATTTTTTGGTTTCATGATGTGATCAATCGATTGGCTTGTGTGATAATTTGCATACCCGCCGAAGGCGTTTATGCATAAAATTATCATGCAAGCCAGTCGATTGATCATCGTCATGAAACCAAAAAATCTTACAGTTATTCCTTATATATATATTCTCTTGATTCTGCAAATCCACATGCTACAAGCCCCGCTTCTGTCTCTATTTGTCCCGCCCATCACATGATTTTTTTTTCACCACGCTTATTGATGAACCAGTAGATTTATGTAGAAATAGTGTATTTTTACTATTTGACATTTTATCTCAGACAAAGACATTGGAAATGTAAATATATGTTAGTCATGTTAATGAATTCTTTTCAGATAGTCAATGTTTTGACCATCCTCATGCATGCCTTGTCTGATAGTCTGAATATTATGCATGTACTAGTAAGGGCATCTAATAAAATATATATAAAAAAAATAACTGAACCTTGTAATCACTAAAAGCACCATGATTAAAGTACATGACAGCTTGTCCCACAGGCAGGGGGGAACCCTTGCTGGCTTCTACAACCTCTCCCAATCCCTGCAAAGAGATTTAATATTCTAAAAAAAAGTTTTACATGCATTATTAAAATGTTGATAAATTTTGGCTCCATCTTTCATATGATTGAAAAAATTCATTATAAATGTGCTCTGTTAAGAATGTTTGCAAGGAATAAGTTGTCAGAACCACAGCTGTACCCACAAAGTACATATGTCCACAATACACATTATAAGATGCAGTCATCTCACTGAAAACAATAAAATATTTAAACAACATGTTTTCTTTGGTTGTTAGTACATTGTATGGGAATTAATTTGGCAGCTGTTGCAGACAAAATACATAACCCGCGTAAGTGTTAACAAAAAACAAAGATATAATATTAATATTAATATTAACATTTATGTCTGTATAAATAATCATATAAAGTACAATTAAGTTTATTATATGATTGAATAATTTCCCTCTTTCTGATTGGCTGAGATCCAACAATGTTAGAAAAATACTACGTTATATTGACCTACACGTGACCTTCCAGGTCAATATAAGGAATTATTGCAGGTCAATATAATGAATCACGTGACCTTCCAGGTCAATATAAGGAATTATTGCAGGTCAATATCATGAATTATTCCTGTTCCATTTTTTCATGTTACAATGTGTTCTTTTTGAAATTTCTCGTTAAAACTTTCAATTAAAAAAAAAAAAAAAAAAACAGTCTTGTAGGAGTTTGCTATCATTTAATCATATAATAAAACAGTTATTGCTGTTTTTTGAGGTCAATACGATGATTTAGACACCTTCGAAGTACAATATTCACCTCGCCCTTCGGGCTCGGTGAATATTGTACTCCTCAGGTGTCTAAATCATCGTATTGACCTCAAAAACCAGCAATAATTGTATAATACGTTTAATACTGTATTATTGATATGTATACGTATGTCATTGTATGTTTCATTGATAGAAGATCCACTGCTCAAGAATTCTATACATTCAGATGGCTTGCTTAGTGGCATTTTTTAAAAAGTATTGATTAACAACCATGGTTTTCATAAGAAACAAGAGATATTCAATGGATGTAAATATTGTATAATGAACACCTGGCATCCAACACATATACACATGTATTAATGCATGAAATATTTTAAACCAGCTATTAATCATGAACATTAACTTTTATTCACTTGAAATCTATCTGCAACTTTTAATTACTGCAACAAAGGAGATGTTCTACATCTATAACATAAATATATAATTTTATTATTAAATAAATGGATTGCTGCGATTAATAATACTGGGTTATTAGAAACAAAAAAGGTTAATTGCAAAACTTGCGGATTTTTTGGCCACAAATCAGTTGGGTTACTTCATCATGTTCATAAGAATTAAGGAACTTTCACTACAATCTTGAACAAAACTGCTAATTAAACATTGTACAACCACAGTATGACCTACTACATAAGTACATAATATGGGTTTACAGTTGACTTACCTCAAATCCAATATCAAATGGTGGTTTAATGTTTGCCTGACTGTCATATCTACCTGCTGTTACATTTATGTCTGATGCATTAATTCCAACAAACCTAGAAAATGAGAATGGAGAAAAAAGTGAAATACATCAATAGTCAGGAGTCTGAGCATATCATGCTATAGTTAGAATAATCTAACTGTGTCTCGGGACAAGCCCTCACCACACGAGTTATCGTCGTGTTTATTTTGCTACATTGCGAATACACGGAACTAATTCTATCGTTAAACTGGGTCCGTAGGACAATATCATTTTAATGATAGAACGTTCTATCTAATCATGCTATACTAATGAACGTTTATTAACATAAATAAGTAAAAAATATTCTCAATTCCATTACATTCTAAATAAAAAAAAAAAGAAGAATATTAGAAATAAAAAGCTAATGTTACCACAAAAATATCGCCACACTTTATTCTACTTGAGAGCGACTGGAAATGCATTCTATATTCTCCATTTGAAAATCATTTAAAAACATGTATAAAATAGTTGCCTGTTTTTGATTAAAACTTCACCCTCTCCAGGCTGTGGCATTGGATCTTCAACAATGGCAACAACATCCCTAAATTTAGGACTTAACCTTGTTGCTACCAATTTTCGAAGATTTCTCGGTAGTTTTGCAGCTGCCATACTTCTGGTCTTGAGGACTTTGAACGAAAGCTAAAGTGAAAGTAGACTAGAGAACGCAGCACTTTGCTCTATAAGTAGTTTCAAATTTCGCCTGTTTTTTTTTTTTAATTAAGTATTCTTACATTACCAAAACTAGGAGAGGGTCCTAGTTTTGTTGCCTCAATGTCTATTTTTTTTTTTCTGGCTGTTAACACCATGGAAGAAAATCCGGAATATATTTTTCCATCATAACAAAATCCGTAAAGTGAAACTAGAAATCTCTGCGAAACGAAAAATCAGACATGGGTCTAACAACAGGAGTACTTAACATCGTATCGTTTTCATCATTGACAAAATGTACAATTGAGTTGTTTAAATTCTTGAGATGGGATGAACGATATTTTGACAAGCTGTCATACAAAATAGTGGAAGGTAACATAAAGCACATTCTATAATCTACATGGTTTTACTTCTACCACAGGGGCTTGTCACAACCTAACAATATTTGCCTTCTTTAAATATATTCACCCCAACTTACATGTACTATAGAAATGTATATGTATTTTGTATTTAAAGGTACAAAAGAGTCAATCCTGATAGATGTTTTTTGTGATCTTGGTTTGCTGTTGATTTTTCTTTCCCAGCATCGACTGATGAGCCACATGAAACACTGGAGCAGGGTGGAAGACTTGCCAGTTTTAAGACGGGCATATGTTATTGCTTCATCAATGAGTCTGCTGGTATGAAAAAGAAATTGTATTTAAAATTTGATGGTTCCGAAAAGTGTAGCAGTCAGGCAGGTTCGATAGCTCATGGTGGCCAGCTAGTTCAGTTGGTAGAGCACCTGACATTATCCTGACATTATTTGGGGGGGGGGGGGGGGTCGAATCCTGGTCTGCTCTGTCACAATTTTCTCTTTTCTTGTAACATTTCATGCCATGCCATGCCCTGGAAGTGACAGGTGAAATTCCTGCCAGGGAGCTTGGGTTGATGTCTTCAGGGCCGAAGACCTTTAAGGAGAGAGGAATGTGGTGGTCTGGTGGTCATCAATGTGATATTGGTCCACGAAGAGCTAATAGTCACTCACCCCTGGAAAATGTAGGTCAGATCCAGCATTTGACGCAGGTCGGATAGTGTACATTACTAAATGCATCATCCAGGCAAGTTTGGTCCAGGTAGATCTTACAGTTACTTGGGAATGGACCTGCTACTAAATCTTTTTACTTGTTCACTTATCTAGAAAATGAAGGTCAGATCCAGCATCTGGAGCAAATCTGGCAGTGAACATCCTTAGATGCATTATCCATGCAAGTTTGGTCTAGGTAGGGCTTATTCCTTGGGAATGGATCTGCTCCAAAAACTTTAACTTGATCAAAAGCAAGTGTGGTAGTGTTCATCACTAGCTTATAGTTACTTGAGAATGGACTTTCTCCTAAAACTTAAAATCAGAATGCTGCAGCTGATGCCCTGGGTATAGAATAAGCTCATCTCTACTTCATCGAGGTGAGGTGAAAACTTGCATAGCTACACAGCTGAATCTATAACAAAATTTGTTCTGAAAACAGAAATTCTAGTGACATTTGAAATATTAACTTAACTGATATATTTATACACAACTCATTTTTAAAAAATATATATTTTGAATACAGGCAGTACAGAATTCTCAGAGTGCATTTCCTTTTATAGATGTTGATTACTTACTGGAGTCATATTCCCTCTATAACAATCTGGTCCTGGGATGTTTCATCATATCCTTTGCTGGTTCTCTTCTTCCAACTTGTATATTCCTTTGCATGGGGAATTCTACTTGTGGAAAATCTGGTTTATATAACACAAATTTTTGCTCCACAGATCAAAAAGGTATCTATATTAACAAATTCTTTTAAAAATTGAACTTTGACATTTCTAAAAATAAACAAAAAATTGACAAAAGCATCTAAAATGCATTCCTTTGAAATAAGTGCATTGCATCTCCATTTTAATTACCTTCATTTACAGTTCTTTAACTGGAATGGTAATTTTCGGACACCTGTTTCTTCTGGCCTGACCCAACTGAGGGAGGTTTTTCCTCACCCTGGCTTTATGTGCTTCACTGTAATTCTGTGGGTGACCCCCACCTTGACCTTCGATAGGTGGCTCCTAGCAACAGTTCTCTCCTGGTACATATATGTACCCAAACGCATAACAAAGAAAGACTATAAGCACTTCTGTGAATGTTATAGTTATGTGAAACGCTATGAAACTCGTGTGTCATATTGAAAAGGACCATATTCTACATGAGATTTCTGCTAGTATAAATGAGCAGAAGTGTAATATATTTTACATACACAATGAGCAGTAAATGTAATATACTTCATAATTTGACTGTGCAATCTGTAAATGTCATTTAGTATAAATGTACACATACATAAACATTTTTTTAAATCTTGCTATTGGTGAATGGTGTATAGTACATGTTTATATACATGTAGTCATAAAGGGTATTTCATTTAAATAGCTACTGGTATACACATGGACTTTGTCCTAAGATGTTAAGTACAATTGTGATTACATTTTTAAGTGTAGACTTGTGTATGGTGTATATTTCAATTTCATTGTCAATTAGGCTTACAAATACAAATATCTTAAAGATTGTAAACCAGTATTCATAAGTTTGCAAGGAAAGAAAAAATCGCAAAAGTTTATCACAGCAAATCAAGTATTTCATTCTATTTATTGAAAGCAGAGATAGTTTTGAACTGAGGAACTGTGAAGGAATATTTTTGTCTTTTGTTTACATGCTTAAATGATAATATTCTGAAAGAAATTAGCAGTTAAAGAAAAGCTGCTTTACATTGTCTCCTTGAAATCTTGTTTTACTTCATTATGTATTTTTAAGAATGCTCTTGATGAAAACTGTGCATTTTTATGATATTGTTGGCATAAAGTAATAAAATAAATCCTTGTTTTATATTGAATAAATTTTGACTCTTCATACATTAAAAATATTTCTTTTTTCCAGGAAAGCTCTCTAATAACAAAATAATAATAAAAAAAATCCCATATAAATGAAATTTATTAAAACTTGATTGGGTGGTCATGTCTAAAAGAAGTAACAAGTATGCAAGGAAGACTTTTATACACAAATAACAAATCCAGATTCCTGATCCTAATGATTTTTAAATAAATAAAACAAATTGTAGAATATTGATATTTGTTCACCAATAAAAAGAATTGAACAGAAGCTGAGAATATCATATATATGTATAATCCACTATAAGCACCTAGATCTGTAATAAAATTGTTACAATACATTTTTGTAATGAAAAAAAAGTACATGGAAATATAAAATTGAACTGCACAAAAGTTATTGAATACCAAATCTACATGCACAGTGTATTTAAAATAGATTAATCTCTTTGCACACTGCTTGAAAAATTTTGAAAACAAAATTAGTGGGAGAAATGGTTTCATACATTACCTCTCATCTTTAGTGAACAAATCTTTGTGCAATGATTTTCAAAGACATTTAATGTTTTCTATTTTTTCAAGAAAATTATTTGTAGATGTTTATGTTCAATATTAAGTTTTTAACACTTTGAGTTGTGTACATACTGTACCTGTAAATCATCATACATAATTGTGTAGATATTAACAAGCATACATATAAAAGAAATGACATGAACAATTAAAGGGACTGTACTCCAGGTACATGGTAATAAATTATAAAATATGCTTATACATGTATTTACATTGCACTTTCATAAAATTATATAAATAATGCATTACATTTCATCACAAAGTAAAAAGCAGTATGACATTTGTCACAATATAAGATACATCACCAGACATCTGCATATATGTTTAAGGTTAATTATTATTAAACGTTATCTCTGACATGCTTTCAGTTTTTGAATTTGATATTCCTCAAGTTTGTCATTGATTTTATGAAATTTAATGGGGAAAAAGTTTTAAAAAACTTCCAAAAAATTGTAAACTCCAAAAGGAATAAGAAAAGGTTATCAAAGGTATAACAACAAAAACCTGTTGAAAAACATGCTGTTGTTCAAGTCAAGCAAAAAAAGATACAAGTATTATGGTATACCAAAGGAAAAAAGTATCCTACTTCAATGTCCTACACTCTGTATAGACAAAATGGAATATGCAAAAAATTATTTACAGTTAAGATTACATTGCAAAATGCATGGATTTCAAGTTCAATGTAAAGATGTTATCAAATAGACATTTAAATAAAATGTCCCAGTATCTCTTTGACCTTCCCATCTGGTTAAATATTGCACTTGGGTCCTACTCAATCATGTTAATTTAACAGAATTTCACTGCACTCAAGGCTTGGTCCAGATTTTCCTTGGTCGGTAGCACAGGGTACATGGTGTTGGGGTAAGGGGCAGAAGGGCTCAGTACAGACTCCTGAGAACTTGACTTGTCATCCATGTAAGGTGTCTGTTGTTTTAATGGGGAATAAGGGGGTGGATCATCTTCTTCAACATCTGCCATAACAAATATTTCATGTAAGCATATAAATACACTTTCAAGATAATTTTCAGACTAAAGTTAATAATTTTTTGGCCATTCTATGTCATTTAAACCTAACATTATTATTAGAAAGTTTTTCCAAGTCTACATGAAATTGCACATTTCCACAATTGAGCACACAACATTGCTATGGTTCAGAATTACTTAAACATTTCCTTTCAAATGTAGTTTCTTTCCCCGAAATAAACGCCAGAGAGTACAATCCTCGCAAATGTTTTACTGGGCAACCTACACAAAGATTGACTTCATTTAGATTGATGCACAAGTTTTTAGCTTTTATTGCACCCACTGAGAGATGATTAGCAGGAGTAGCAGGGTCATCATCTCTGCTAGCCAAGTGTTTGACTGACAAAGATGCTTTGTCATGTACATGTAATTTCTGCAAACCTGCCCTTAATTTCTAACCTGGTGTCTTGCAGCAGTATACTGGAAAAGCTGGCTGTGGATTCAGTCTAAAGGATTCTCTTCTGTACTTGTGTAATTTTTCCTTTGCTTTGTACAGATGGTTCTGTGTTTTGCAGGATCCTGTGTTAAAAAATTAGCAATGTTCTAATAAGATTCTTGTGTATACTGTAATTATCTTTTTAATGAAATCTAGAAGTGAGTTCTGCTTCTTTGTTCTAGTAATTTGAAAGAAAAATTAAATCAATCTGCAAGTTTGCTATAACTGGAAAAAAAATAATCAAGGTTGTAAAATCGTATAGAATAATTAATCCGATTTGATACATCTTCTTTTCTCTATACAACAGCACACATGTATATTATAAATTCACCTCAGCTATCAGTGTCTCAAACAAAAAATATACAAACCTGTATACTTCACTTCCTCTAACTCTTTCCCATGAACATCAGGGATCTCCATGGCAACATCCTTGAACATAAATTACAAAATACCAATGAAATTTGGTTGCAACAAAATGCACTTGACCAAAGACACCCACTACACAAAGAATTATATAGTATTTTATAGGTTTTCTAATATTTACAAGTTTATAACTCAGTTTACAGTTTTCCAATCATAACTTATTTAGATACATGTATTCAATGAAATATCTTGCCTTCTGAGCCTCAAAAACTGTAGAGCATTTCTTCCCCAACTCAATGTAGGCTTCAGCAATCCTTACAAAGCCCTCTTTTAATCGAATCATCTTGACTGCCTCATTTTCTCGTATTCTTTCAGTGACTGAAATAAAATGATACAGCATACATAAAAAAAGAAAATGAATTGAGTTTCATGGCTTATTTAATATCTAAAATTTAAATTGAATCATTCTACTTTTTTCCCTGGAATTAGCCATTTAAAAATTCCTTTCTCTGAGTTTCTCAGTGAAGTGCTATGGATATGTAAAAAAATATTTTCTGTTTGATAGTAAAATTATAAGAGAATGTGAAGTACACCGTGTATATATACATGTATTATAGAACTTTATAGAATAAAAAAAATGAGAAAAGCAATAAAGTATTTTAAGATTGAGATCAGTTGTAAAAGTACAAAAACACAATTCTTATGTAGACCATGTATATCATAATATTTGGATCAAAGCCTTTGTACCATGCCATCACATTACTACATCTGACATGATTAGATAAATTGTACTAGTATCCTACAAATTCATGTACACATGTACCTTCAATTTCAGCCTTCTCTCTTTCTGACTGTGCTTCATATAATTTGGTTTCCAGATTTCTTCTATCTGCCTCACAGTTTCTCTTCAAACAAGGAAAAATAATAGGATTTATATAGTAATTGCAATAAAGCGTCATTGACAAATTATATATTTTGAAATTTAAAGAATATTTTTTGTAGACAAAATTATATAATATCACATATAAATTTTTAATATATTATATACATATACAGGTATTGATTTGGTATAAATTAAAATCTTGAAGGTTTAATTAATCTGCTTTTCCTTTTGATAGATAACTTATGCCTGTACATGTATACATGAACTTCAGTTTAACTGTAAATTCCATGCAACATTCGCAGAATCAACTATAAACTCAAAACACATGCAAGTGTATTAGTATAAATCTTATCAATTCTTATGTTGAGGCATATTTCTAGACTAACATTTTATGAAATTATAGCATCGATTATAAAACATTGCATTCTGAAAGAGAGACTGAATGAAAGGAATAGATTTCAAGAAAGGTAACTCTATTCAATACAACAACACATACTTTACCACTCCCACAAATGATTGTAAATTTGGGTTTATACACAGACTGAAATTAATATCGATTTTAGTAGGTAAAGTGTTTAAACACATTGCCTTAAAATTAGATTTTTATCTCTTCAAAATATGATTATACATGCACCAATGCATATTATATATTTAAATGCATTTCAAATAATTTGAGAAATTTTTTGATCATATAATGCCAGATGGTTTTAATGATATACATGTAATATATACCAGGGATTTATCAGCCTATTTTGGGAAATCCCATTTTTTGGGAATTGGGAAAAAATTATAGGCTATTTGATGAAATTGGGAAAAATTAAAAATGTTGCTTAAATCATGTATTCAAGTGTAATTCATTTAACACTTCAGCATGAACTCTAATCTGGGCAATCAAACAGACAATTAATAAAAGTAAATTTTACTTCAATGAGTATAAAGTATTTATACAACTTAGGGTAGTTCATGTGTGTATAAGATTTCAATTTAGGTCATGCAAAAAATTATACTAAAGTACCCGGTACACATTTTCTCAAAATCCTATTTTAATATGTATTAAAACATTGAAAATATATTTTCTATCTGAAATAATGCCTACAGTCCTTACCATTCATTCGTAGATCATTTGAGTAGGTGGAAATAACTTAATAAATCTATACAATATATCACTATTTTCAGAAAAACAGAGGAAATTCGGATTAAAAGTTGGCAATGTTTTTACAGTGTTGTTAAGCGTGTTATGACTGCAGCTTTGCTAAATGAGTTAAATAGATGAAAATTACAGACAATCTGACAAATTTACACTGTGATTTTCCAAGAAAATTGAATATAAAAGCATTGTTCACCAATTGCGAAAAAATACAACCAAATTGGGAAAAAATTAGCTCATTTTCAATTGGGAATGGGGCCGAATTTCGGCCCCTGAGAAGGTACAGATAAATCCCTGTATACAATATGTTTATGTTTAAATCGAAATCTCATTAAAAGTTGTTTATTCCCCACCCTGGGACCCCTATCTAAAAAGAGAGTCAACAAAAGTTTTACAGATTTAAGAGGTTATTTTTCTTATTAATGCTTATTTTAATACATCGATTCATAACAAAACATGGTTTTTCAACATACCTTTTCAGCCTTATTCAAGTCTTTTCTCAATTTTGATTCTTTCTGTTCACAGTTGCTCTGCAAGAATTTGAAGAAAACAAACAAAATGATCTGACATACATATATGCAACAGTATAAAATGCCATAATATGGGGATTTTCCAATGTATAGAATGTATGGTAGAATAATACATGTATGAAAACTAAAGAGCTCTTGCACAATAATCTTTATTTAAAATGCAAGTATATAAAATGGTTATACAATGTACTAATAAAATATATTTCAAGAAAATACATACATGTAGTTGCCCAGGTAATACATTATTACTTAGTGAAGCTAAGTTAAAGGTTGTACATGTAGATGTCTTCCATGTTACATGTAATGTCACAGTGACTCCTTGTGATACATATGAATGAAATCTTTTTGAAGTATTGTTTGAAGTCAAATAAAAATATATTATGACTGCTTTGTGAATATCAAATACTGTTTCGGCTTTACCAGGTTTTCTTTGGCTTGTGAGACATGTTTTTCTCCTTCCAAGACCATCTCAAACATTTGTTTGTATTCTTTCAAATGTCCTGAAATCAGACAATAAGATTATAGATTATCTTATTTCAACAAGTGTTTAGATCAATTCATTCTATATTCATGCATTATAATTTTCCTCTATGAACAATTTTTAATACAAGTTTTTCTTTAATGCATCAATCCTGTTTTGAAAATTACAAGTCCTCTTATAATGTTACAAATGACATTAAACACTTTAATACATGTACTTTTATTCTTTTTTAAATAAATGCATGAGCTGCAATTCAATGAAAATGAAATTGAACACTCACCGATGAAATCTTTCTGAACATCTGTCCACAAAAGATTTAACTCAGTAATATGATTGGCAACATCCTACATATAAAAAAATATATGAAAGCATAAGAGCAAGAAGAACAAACTGACTTCTAAGTTTAAAATACATTTATCAAATTTATATAAATTAAAACCTTCCAAGTTTTAGAATGTATTGTCCACTGTGACAGAACATAATTGACCACTATTATAGTATTACTACAATGTTTTGAAAGTCACATGAAATGAGTGATTTAACATCAGGGATGGGGTAATCGTAATCGAGTAATCGTAATCGATTGTAATGATTACTGTTTTTCAAGTAATCGACAGTAATCTGTAAACGAAGAGATTTTCGATTACTTGTTATTGTAATTTAATCGATTACAGCTAAAATTTTCAATGTAATTATAATTACTTTTTCGATTACTTTCGATTATTTTATACATAAATGGATGTTATTTTGGAGAATTAATTCCAATCAATCACACATAAATATCAAACATAAACCACCTAGTGTAATGTTTGGATTTCCTAACTTTTCTTATCATAAGTTTAATAATGTTCTCAATAAAATTTGCATTACAGACCTACTGGTCTAGTATTAAATAATTCAGAAGTGTATTTCATCAACCATTTATTAATAAAATATACAGATTTTTCGTGTGCATTTTACATTTGACCCACTGTCCTCTTGCTGCATGTCCTTTTTCATATTTCAGATATTGAAAAACTTTGTCTTGTAATAGAAAATTAGAAATAGCAAAAACAGATTTAAGTGCTGTATTAAATATAAATAATTTGGTAAATAAACTACATAGTACTCAAAAAAAAAAAAAAATGGAAATACTTATTCACATCTGAAAATGTTTAAACAACTTCAAACTTGTGTTTTAGTATCTTTAAAATTTGCAAAATCATTCTCATGTTTTCATTCAAAATTGTAAGGTTGCTTTTATATCAGTGAGGGGTTATAAGTGCCTGTAAGAGAGGGAGTAAGTGTCACTGTATTTGCTTATCTTAATTGGCTAATTAATTGACTGAGACATATCCCTGATTGCAGATAATGAGGTGTAAACTGTGAACTACTTTGTGTTTAACTATCATTCCATTGAAGACAAACAATATTATTAAAAGAATTAATAGCTCTCAAAACACTTATTTCAATACAGAATGAAACTGTGTTACATGTATTAGTTAAATTACTTAAAAACACTTTAATTTACATGTTAATTACTAAGAGTTCGTTCTAATTTACTTTTTTTTTAAAATAGACACATACAGGAATGTTTAATGTGTACTGTCAACATACGGACAGCCCAAATACTTCTAATGAAGTAATTCACAATAAGATATTAAAAAATTTTTTCAACAAGTCAATAAATATTGAGGTACAGATCTAAGGTTGAAAGGAATAATTAATTCCTTGGCATATTTTATTGCAGGAATCATGTCTCCACTTTCCATGGTAGAAAATCCCTCATTTGGGCATTTAGTGAGAATGTTAGCCAGAATAAAACCTTAAAAGAATCTGCACTGAAACTGCAGGAATACATTCAAACTTCAGTGGATAACATCAACATTTACCATTTAAATATTGCTTTAATATTTGAAGGGATAAAAACTTGGAAGTAATCGATTATTAATCGATTACATCTTCCAAAGTAATCGATTACAATCGATTACAGGACAAAAATGAGTGTAATCGATTAATAATCGATTACACAAAATTCCCCTCAGTAATCGATTACATTTTTCAGTAATCGTGCCCATCCCTGTTTAACATGGTGATTTTTTAATCATCTTTTAACATACCACATATGTAAAATTAAGAAAATTAATGGATTCTTATAATGCTTTGATTGGATGATTATTTGGCAACTCTATAAATGTACAATTTAGTTAAACCTGAATGGCTCGATTTTCTTCATTTACTGCCCATCTCATCATATCTTGACATGCTGGAAAGTGGAAATGTTATATACTTATAATGACAATATATCAGCATTTTACCATACCATGTGGATATGGAAAAATCAACATACAAACAAAAACAATTACAAACAAGCAATACATACATGTATATAATAACAAAATTTTGATCACGTCTTTGCTGAAATTAATGCCAAAATTAAGACTATAAATAAAATATCAACTTACCAGAGTTCTGAGCATTCATGAAGCCTTTAGCACTCTCTCTCATATCTTTTAATTCAGATATCATCACATTCAAATCGGAACTTTCTCCTGATCCTAGGGACTTCAACTTGGCTCCACTTCTAAAATAATAACAAAACAAAAACTTGTTTTTATAAAGAAATGATAAAACCATATTATATAAATAAAACAATAAACATTCCCGTTTATACTATACAATGTAGATTAAATTGATATTTTAGCCATACAACCGTTCTACCACAGAAATAAAATGTCTCTTCCATTAACATTATGATGATCACTCGGATGTCTCCACTTTTTTTCCGTAAAATTCTTTTTAGTGTTTTGTACCTGCGAATTGCTCTTGAGGCTTTATCCATGTTAACTCAAAACAATGTTCTCAACCATTTGATAACATGATAAATACAATAGGCCTAACTTGAAAACAACAATGTTTACAAATTCAATTTCCGCGGGCATGAACCGGAAATGACGACAAAAATTAAATTCAATCGTACTAAAAATTATTCCGAATATCCACTTTCTTTGAAAGTGAAAGTAGGTGAACAAAAAAAGTAAGTTTGTTTAACGATTACGTTTTTTAAAGGTTTATTTTAATTATTAACCAAAAAAAACTCGAACTTCACGTGTTCTTTTAAATGTACTTGGAAAGCGTTAGATTTTTTATATTATATAAAATAATTACCATGTTACTTGTACACTGAAGACACACCCCTTAAGTTTTACCTCCTTGTCAACTGGTCGATGTTTATTCTCTCTCTCTCTCTCTCTCTCAGGGGTAGTAGTAAAAAAAGTATGCCCGGAAAGACCGAGTCTTATGTATACATTTATACATTACACAAAATTTGGCCGGTGTAGCAAAGCAGCTCTAGACGTAATATATGCCTCTGAGCAAAGGAAGTCCCCGAGGAAGAACCATTTTTAAAGTTTCTCATTAATCACTTTATTGAAAATATGAAAAATTGCACCATACAACCATTTATTTTTACTCGACTTTAAAAAGGCATTAGCTAGCCTTGGTTTACATAAAAAATGTAACGCACTTGCTAATATTGACAATTTAAATTTCGGACATTCAGATTTTAGTTGACTGTTGTCCAGAAATAGTTAATATAATTTTTCATGAAAGTAGAAAAAACATTAATAAATAAAACTGAAAAATATCGGATCAAATCGTAGCTATATAACGTAAATATAAGAAGATATATACGAAGGCCCTATAATAGCAGAATCCCCCCCCCCCCCATGATGATGGAGAATTCGCATTTTTATAGCAGTCCATCTTGGTTCTTCTTTGGGAATTTTTGCTCAACAACAAGGTGCACTTTGTTTTGAGGAGAGATACAGGACTTCAAAGATAAATTATTTGTTGAAGTGTGTGTTATCTTTTGTTATGAATTAAAAAGTATTGCAAAACCTTACAAGGAGATATTGTTTAACTACTCTTACAGTTCATACATAAATGATTGTATACCGTATTATAAATACAAAGTAAAAACCTAAATACTATAATTAATTATTTTAAATCTCAAGATCGATTCCAGTGACACAACCTTACCTATAACCAAACGAATTGGGACATTATACATTTCATATTATTTTTATCGCAAATGAAGTGGAGATTTACCACAGTCCAGCTGTTTGAAATATAAAACATGTATAATTTTAATATATGTCAATATTTCAGGGGGATAAATGGGAGGGGATCAAAAACTTTCCAATGTTGATAGGGATATAGAGGAACTGCTCAACATACTTAGCTCATTGTGTGAGGAACATGGAACGACCATTCCAAAGTTAAACAGGTCACTGGAGATTCTGAAGACGATTAAGGAGGAAGTAAAAGATCTTCAGGTGTCTTCAGATCAGGATACTATATCCACATTGGATCTAAAAGACTTAGATGTACCTTGGAAAAAGATCGGGGCAGGAAATTTTGGAAGCGTATTCAAAACAACCTGGAAAAGTTCCGCAACTGTGGCTATAAAAGTTTTAAAAGAGCAAGCAAAACATCAGGCTCGTGAATCCAAGCTTCTGCGATATCTAAGCCATGAAAATATTATAGCTTATAGAGGGATGGGATATATCCAGTCAAAGGAGGAATTGAAGCGCATATTGGGCGTCAAGGACGATGGCGAGGTATTTCAGACACCGTGTATGTTTTTTGTTATGGAATTCATTCCTACAAATCTATATCGATACATCGTTCAACTAGAGAGCCACGAGAGACAGGGTCTTTCACTTGGAAAGGCATGGGATATTGGAAAGCAAATCGCCAGCGCACTAAGTTACTTGCATTCGGAAGGAATTGTGCATAGGGACTTGAAGCCAGACAACATCTTGATTCAGGGATATGTGAACAAATTCATTATCAAAATCGCAGACTTCGGTTTGGCGTGGAAGAATGATCAGATTGACAAACAACAAACAAGATACGGTTCGGTGATGTCTAGCAGCAACACAATGTCCGAAATAAGTGAATACATAAACATAAGATGGGGACCTCCAGAATTCCGGTCCTCTTCGGAAAGCAGTAAAAGTCATACCATTATCGACTACCAGAAGGGCGATATTTACTGTTTTGGCTTAATCATGTTGTTCACAATATCTGGCTTAAAACCTTTAGCGGAACTTTCATCTTCTAGCATACAGGATGAAATAGACCTTCCATCAGCATCCATTCCGACGAATTATATCACGAATTCTAAAGACATTGTCGGAAAATGTATTATAGAATGCACGAATGAGATACCTGAGGTAAGACCCACTGCTGAAGATGTGATTCAAAAATATTATAGAGGGAAGAACCCGTACCTTTCAGAAGCAGATGAAGGAGAGTTATTTTCCTGTGGATTTATGGATAAGACTGACATATTCGTCGCGGACTCTTGCACAGATGAAGACGCTACTCAGACTGGCTATTTTGAATCGGAATTTCGACCAACTGGATACCAACACGAGGACTTGAATTGTCCAATCCAAGTGGAGTCCAGGCCTTGCAGGGAGAGATATGAAAATTGGGACAAAGAAGAAGACTATACCGCAAATTACCAAGAATTCAACAAGCAGGCAAAAGCTAAAATAATCGACAACAATCCAACCGTAGCATTAAAACGTCTAGTTTTGGCCCGTCCTGGCGAAGACGAATGTCAAAGGGTCGAAATGTTTTTTAAGCAGTCAGAGTACGTTCATCACAGAGCTATGAGAAAAATCTGGATGAGCCTTAGCGATCAACAAAAGCGAGATGCCATTCCAAATAAAGGAGATGTGAATCCTTATTTCAGCAATACATTTGGACTACATGTAGCCATTCTGACAAATGAAGGTCCAGGAAAACCCCAATTCTTCGTTTTTCCCCAGCGTGCAAAACGTGAAGGAATGTCAGCCCCAGGAGCTTTTACATGTGGAGCGGTTGAGAGCGCATCGACCCCGGATATTCAAGGAGAGGGAAATTCAAGAACAGTAAATCTTGTCAATACGGCAATTCGTGGTCTACGTGAAGAACTTGGTCTTGAATTAACTGACTCCGACGCAGAAGCAGTCTGTTTGACCACGATATATCTGAAAACCGATACCCATGAATGGGGACTTTGCGGATTTGTTGATCTTACAGATAACAGAATTAAGCCTGAACATCGAATCAGTGCAGATAATTTAAAAGATCGTTTCTCTAGTGGTCCCAAAGACAAATTTGAGCACCAGACATTAACCTTTGTTAAGTTTACGTTAGAAGACATGGTGGATTTTGTCTTTGAAAATCATGATAACTTTGCTAGTTCCGCTAAACTAGTCGTTGTGAAGGTGCTGCAAGCATTTTTTGGATGGTCTAGGGTACAGAGAGAGTTTGAATCTCGAAAGGTTACCTCAGAAAAATAAGAAATATATATAGACAATTTATATTAATGGAACATAAATACATTGTAGTCTTTAGTGTGACAGTAGATTCAAATACACTAGACAAAATTGCTAACGCACCACCAAAGAAAATTAATATTTTACTTTTCAAAACTTGTTTAATGTGATGTATATGAATTTATCATATACTTATTAGTAAATACACCGATTCTGCACTGCGCGGTACGGTTGACGTCACAATACCCCATATCAAGGACCAGTCCGAAAATCCATATCACGTATCGGACCGGCGGGCAGAAATCCGTATCAAACCGGAAGTAACGTTTGTATAAAGTTTAAAAGTTAATCAACTTGATTTTATTTAAATATACATGTGAAATAATTCTTTACTAACATTTATGTGGACTTAATTTGTTTCAGAGACATAAAATTGGCTCTATTTTAAAGAAAAAGGTCATAAACATGTACGAAACATTCGTGGCGCAGTGGTTAGATCGTCTGCTCTAGAGTCACGGAGTAAGGAGTTGATCCTTACGTCGCGGGTTCGAATCCCACTGCGGGGCGTGGAGACCGGTCCTTCGGATGAGACCGTTTAAACCGAGGTCCCGTGTTGCAGTAGGTGCTGGCACGAAAAAGATCCCTCACTGCTCAATGGCCCTGAGTGCCGAGTATAGGTCAAAATTTGTAGCCCTCCACCGGCAAGTGGTGGCGTCTCCATATGAGTGAAAAATTCTCCAGAGGGACGTTAAACAACAAACAAACAATCAATCAATCAATGACTTTATGTGAACTCGCATATTAAGTATTTTAAATATATGATAAATAGAATACAACATACTAAAATCCATATCATATGTCATATCAGCCCTCGGGCCCCATATCAGCCCTCGGGCTGATATGGGGCCACTCGGGCTGATATGATATGGATTTTAGTATGGAATATTCTCTATATACAGAGTGTCCCAATATATATGATACCATTTGAAATACATGCCTTGACCAATTTGTTTGATATATGTCTCATTATATTATGTCTCATATTTGAATAAATACAATTTTTAGCAACAATATATTCCAGTAAAAACTTTTCACACATTTGGAATTGTGATGTCACAAAATTATATCAAAAAATTGCTGACAATTGCATTTCAATCGAAATGGATTTATCAAAAGAGCAAGCTACCCTGATTTTGAAACTTTAATTATCAAACCGTCTTAATTTACTGTTACTAAACCCAAACCTGAATCCTTCACGTATGTAAAAATATATAAACTTCCGATGGAAATCCAGAAGATAACTACCAAGACATACACTGCTGAAAAAAACCGTAGCATTTGTCAAAGTAAACTCATATAATTGTTTTCTTTTAATATCCGTCAAATTGTGTGAATAAAATTGAACAGCAATGTTTATAATGCAATGTTTATAACTCATTTGTTGTAATTCAATATTAATAACATTTATGTTTTACATAATCGTGAAATGAAATCATATATTCTGGAACACCCTGTACAAATATATTACCAAAGGTAAAAATAAGGCAGTTAATTGTCTTAACTGATAAATAACTACAAAATTTACTGAAGCGTAACCATGGAAATAATGAAAATCGTGCTCACACTTTTTGGGGGAATATCTACCTCTTTCTCTGTGTTTGTGTGCTTTATATTTGTATTAATAATTAAAAACCTAGAAAAACTAGAGTGTTCCAAGAAACGCATATGTTGCCTGTTTTGTGGCTTAATTAAAAATAAATCTAAGTGTGGATTAAAGATGTAAATAAATCTAAGTGTGGTCAGCTAGATTCATTTACTACTAGCCACAGGTACTTGTGGACAGGACCCCCCCCCCCCCCCCCCCGATATTCAACCCCGGGGCTTGTTGGACATTTTTTTCACAAATTATATTTATTGCATTTATTCATCATGTGTACCATACGTACCGTGAAAATCCCAAAATAATCGTTTCAGATAACGCTCAACTAGGGCCTCGGGTCACCCGCATAAAGTTCGTCATTTTGCTTAGTAATAAAATATTATATGAACTTTTCAAGTATTAAAGGCACAAAAATAAATAATTTTTCATCTATATTAATAAGGTGACCGCAAGTCACCTTAAATTTTAATTGAATTTTATTTAACAAAGTTATAACATCTATCTACTTTGTAATAGTTTAGCATAGACCTGAAAGTAATAAACACAAGACGACTAGTTGTTAATAGGCCAGGCCCATAAGAAGCTGTGTCAGACCCCCCCCCCCTAAAAAAAAGAGGAAATTCTTATCTTGTGTCCCTTCAATAATATTTCAAGTATCCTAGCTTGGCATTTCACACATTCGTAGATCTGATTCATAAATAAATTTGATTAATTCACAAATTTTTCCTTCACTAACTGTTTTGTGAGCTGAACTCTAGTCATCACGTGACCAGAAACCGTTCACCGCTATCAATCGAAAGCGTGAGAGCTCTAAGCGCTCCCTAGACTTTTGTAGATAAATGAATTTTCAATAGTAACTGTCATAAGATTGCATTTTTGGATCAGTGTTAGATATATCGCTACGCATTGCCGTTATAAGATCAATAAAGAACCCCCATGACTTTTCTTAACAATAAAATTTATAAAATTCATCTTCGATGTATCGGATTGAGTGAAATTCGTTATCTTGACAGAAAGCTTGCAATTTCACACATTGACATCATTTATGCGTAAGTAATTTTGAAGCGTAAATAATTTTGAAATCCAGATATTTTTAACTACATTAGACACAAACCAAAGCCAAATAAAACTCTTGAAATGCCAAGACTCAGCTGCTGCATTATACTTGTTCGCCGTACAAATGGAGATCACTTAATTGAGATTTCTAATGTTCATTCTAGAACAAAAGATTTTCAAATGTATACATAAGTTCCTTTAGTGCAAGGCAAAATTTCAAGCATGAAATCAGAATGAGAGAGAGAGAGAGAATTCAATTCGCCTCAAAAATTCATAATAGACATAAACTTTCATATTATTATTGTTGATGTCATTTATTTTTGAAAATAACATTTCTGAACAAGTGTAACGTAAAATGTATTATGAAATTTATTTATTTTGTTTACCTTTACTGGCAATATACTACGTGTATTTGTAAAATTTGAAATGCATTAACAGTAAATCTCTGTAACATTTAACGAAGAATAGAGTACCTGAACCTGATCTCTGCTTGTTATGAAAGGCTAAAAATCAGGTAAATTTTGTAGTCTTTGAACAGTACTTTATATGTTTTTCAAGATGAACTCTCGCCATCTCGTCACCGACTTCTTACATTTACTTAGCTTTATTCCAATGAACGTTGTACTTACGTCGTTCAAAGGGAGATCATTTGAGTACATCCAGAGTTACCTTATGCAAATTTCACAAGATAACTGCTAAGCATTTGAGAGATAAGTATAAATTGGAGATTTCTGGAGGGTGGTGGTGGGCTAATATTTCTGCTTGTTTCAGGCAATAAAGACACGTGAAGTCGTGAACCAACCTGCTTCATGTATCTGCACATGCATGTACATGCATTGTACTGCATATGCAACTTGTGAACCTTATGCTTGATCAAACAAATCGCTCTTATTTTAAGCTATACATATTGATATTGTGTTTTTTTTTAAAATAAATTTTAACCTCAGATACTTGAATCTTAATATATTTTTTGTTCTTTAATGCCTTGTGTGCATAAATCAGAGTTGTGACTGTGTTAATTTTGTTGGATCAAAATAGTAAGAAAACTTATTCTTCAAAATGATTAAGAATGCATTTTTTGTACAAATTAAGATATAGCAATTACAAGATGTGACTGAAAAAGGCACATGCTCATTGTTGATTTAAAAACGATACAAAACTTTTCTTTCTGTTGTGAAGAATCTAATACAAAGTCATTGTTGCAGTCTTTGAAAAGTAACTGTTTTGTGAGCTGAACTCTAGTCATCACGTGACCAGAAACCGTTCACCGCTATCAATCGAAAGCGTGAGAACTCTAAGCGCTCCCTAGACTTTTGTAGATAAATGAATTTTCAATAGTAACTGTCATAAGATTGCATTTTTGCATCAGTGTTAGATATATCGCTACGCATTGCCGTTATAAGATCAATAAAGAACCCCCATGACTTTTTTTAACAATAAAATTTATAACATTCATCTTCGATGTATCGGATTGAGTGAAATTCGTTATCTTGACAAAAAGCTTGCAGTTTCACTCATTGACATCATTCATGGGTAAGTAATTTTGAAGCGTACATAAGTTTGAAATCCAGATATTTTTTAGCTACATTAGACACAAACCAAAGCCAAATAAAAATCTTGAAATGCCAAGACTCAGCTGCTGCATTATACTTGTTCGCCGTAAAAATGGAGATCACTTATTTGAGATTTCTAATGTTTATTCTAGAACAAATGATTTTCAAATGTGTGCATGTATACATTAGTTCCTTTAGTACAAGGCAAAATTTCGAGCATGAAATCAGAATGAGAGAGAGAGAGAGAGAGAGAGAGAGAGAGAGAGAGAGAGATGGAGAGAGAGAGAGAGAGAATACAATTCGCCTCAAAAATTCATAATAGACATAAACTTTCATATTATTATTTAGTCGTTGTTGATGTCATTTATTTTTGAAAATAACATTTCTGACCAAGTGTAACGTAGAATGTATTATGAAATTTATTTATTTTGTTTACCTTTACTGGCAATATACTACGTGTATTTGTAAAATTTGAAATGCATTAACAGTAAATCTCTGTAACATTTAACGAAGAATGGAGTACCTGAACCTGATCTCTGCTTGTTATGAAAGGCTAAAAATCAGGTAAATTTTGTAGTCTTTGAACAGTACTTTATATGTTTTTCAAGATGAACTCTCGCCATCTCGTCACCGACTTCTTACATTTACTTAGCTTTATTCCAATGAACGTTGTACTTACGTCGTTCAAAGGGAGATCATTTGAGTACATCCAGAGTTACCTTATGCAAATTTCACAAGAGAACTGCTAAGCATTTGAGAGATAAGTATAAATTGGAGATTTCTGGAGAGTGGTGGTGGGCTAATATTTCTGCTTGTTTCAGGCAATAAAGACACGTGAAGTCGTGAACCAACCTGCTTCTTGTATCTGCACATGCATTGTACTGCATATACAATCTGTGAACCTTATGCTTGATCAAACAAATCGCTCTTATATTAAGTTAAACATATTGATATAGTGTTTTTTTTTTAATAAATTTCAACCTCAAATATTTGAATCTTAATATATTTTTTGTTCTTGAAACTAATGTCTTGTGTGCATAAATCAGAGTTGTGACTGTGTTAATTTTGTTGGATCAAAATAGTAAGAAAACTTATTCTTCAAAATGATTAAGAATGCATTTTTTGTACAAATTAAGATATAGCAATTACAACATGTGACTAAAAAGGCATA